GTAGTCCGAGCGGGCGACAAAGCAGTCGCCCACGCGGCAGCTGCGGAGGTTGAACGCTAGAAAGTTGTTCCGCAGGATCGGGTACAGCTGAGCCTCTCGACGCGACGGACAGACAAACATGTCGATCGGCGTCTGCACCAGCCGCAGCATCTGGGCCTCTTTATCGGTCGCGTTGCTGATTCCCGACGCAACGTCGCGCAGGCTCTGCTCCTCAACGTAGGCCAGCAGCCCGTAGGGCCAGCCGCCCCGCTGGTCTCTTCCGTAACCCTTGTCGGGGTCGGGTTGCCACCGCCAACCAAAGCCGGAGGTCGGAAGATGCCCGTGGGTATTTTCGTGGTTCAGGCACCCGAGCGCGAGCTGCTTGAGGTTGTTCTTGCATTGGGTGCGGCGGGCCGCCTCACGCGCGGCTTGAACCGCCGGCAGCAGCAACGCGATCAGCACGCCGATGATGGCGATCACCACCAACAGCTCTACCAGCGTGAACGCGTTTCGACGTTCCATGACTTCTCCATTCATTGTTCAAGCAAGAGACCGCAGCACTCGCAACGCCCCGCGTCCCACGAGGCGTGACCGGGGGGTTGAGCTACCGGCGTCTGCGGCGAGAAGTTTCGCCTGCTGCGGCGAGAGCAAGCACCGCCAAGCACGCCGAGGCGGGCTCCGGAGCATTGGCCGCCGCCGAGGTGGTGGACGCATTCGACAGGCCGTAGTTGCTCCGCCAGGCAAGGTAGTCATCGGCGTTGACGAGCCCGGAATTACCCGGCGCGCGGGAGTCCGCCGCAAACGCCGAGGCGTCCTGCCCAAGGTTGTCACGCCAAACCGTGTAGTCGGCCGCGTCGACCGAGCCATCGCCGTTGTAATCGCCGATCAGTCCCTGTGGCAGCGTGGTGAGCATACCGTCGAACACGACCTTGCCGAACCGGAAAAAGTTCTCGTTGGGCAGTGCGAAGCGGAACACAAGGTCTTCCGCAGCTGAGGGGCTGTCGAAGTCATACGGTGAGCCGATCAAGACCCCCTCGCCCGCGGAGATACTCATCTGGCCGATAGGCAGCAGCTCAGACAGCGTGTTGGCGTTTCCGATGGCCTCTTCCCATTGGCCGCCGCTGGCGCCTTGGCTGTCGAGGCTGTCCCACCCGGTGGGCGACGCGTCAAGCGACCCGGACGCCGAATCGATGACATACGTGTCGATGGAGACCGTCGCGCGGAAGCCATTCAGAATCTGCGCCTCGCCGGTTGTGCGGTCGACGTTGAGGGTAAGCGTGTCAGTAGGGATGCCCTCATACACGATCAAGCCGTTGGTGAACACGTTCGAGCCGGGCGTGGAGAAGCGGAACGTGACGTCGTCCGTGTCTACGCCAAACGGCTGCGCGTCCGGCTGGAAGACGTCGCCGAGGTCCACGGTCGTGTTCCCTGCAATGGCTCCCGAAGACAACGGATTAAGCTCTGACAGTGCGGTGGGATTCTTGTTGGCCACCTGCCACCCATCCGTTGGGGTGATGCTTTGGAAGTTGGCGTCATTGAGGGACCCGGCTGCGGAGCCTACCACGTACGCATCGAACGCAAGAGTTGAGGCCGACCCAGGATTCTGCATGGTGATGCTGCCGGTTCGCCGATTGACGACTAGCACCGGCTGCTGCTCGAACACAATGCTCGTTTCGAAACCGTTGGCGCCACCGGCGACCGTATCGGTACGGACGCTGACGCCCAGACTAATTCCCGGCACTTCCGAAACGTCGACCGCTCCGAAGCCGTTGATCACCGATCCGGAATCAGCGAGTAGGTAGGCCGCGCCAACCGACGGTGTGAGTCCCTGAGTATCGATCTTCAAGGTGCCACCGAGGTCGAGCTGTCCGCCGACGGAAATCGGGGAGGGCCCCGCCGCCCCGAAGCTCCAGGTGTGCGTGCCTCCCTGGCCGAGGATCGCGTTCCCCGAAATGCTCAGAGACACGCCGTTGCCGGTGATAGAGAGGTTCTTGTCCAGGAACGCGGAAGTGGCTGACACGCTCGCTGATCCGGACAAGTTAATCGCGCTTGCGGCGCCGCCGTTGCTTGGCGTTGATAGCTCGTTGCCAATCGCCAGCACGCCGCCCGATACATTGAGGGTCCCCTGACCGCCGTCGAGCCCGACGATGAGGTTGGCGGGCACGTCACCCGGCGTCGTTTCGGTCCCCGGGCCCACGACAAGGTTATCGCCCGCGCCGACATTGAGCGTGCCGCTAAACGCGCCCCCGCGGCCCAGCACCAATTGAGGGGCCGGCGTCCCGGACAGGTCGCCGTCGATTTCCACGACAGGGTTGGGGTCAACCGTGAAACCCGGATTGGCCCCGATAACGGCGCGGCTAAAAAAACTGTCGGGCGGAACGAGGAAGCTCCAATTGTTGCCGTCTGAAAACGATACGTCGTCGCCTCCAAAACCGCCTTCCGAACCGATCCACACGTTCTCTTGCGCCATCGCCCCGCCTGCGAGTGGCGCCGCGACGAGCGTCGCCATTAGGGCGGCTATTCGCAATTTGGCCTTCATGGTGATGTTGCCTTGTCAATGATGAGGCGCCGGAGCCGTGGCCCACTGCGCTTGGTGTGTAAGACGCACGTCACGCCAGGATCAGCCGCGGCGACGGCCGGCGCCAATCAGGCCCGCCAGACCGGCGATGGCTAGCGCCGCCGTCGAGGGCTCCGGGACGCTGAGCGACGCGAACGCCGACTGCACGGCCGCCGCGGATCCTCCCGCCCCAAGAAACGCGTCTTTCCACTCCCGGAAGTCTTCGATGCTAACCTCACCGTTGAGGTTCAGGTCACCATCCATCCGTGTGAGGTCCATTCCGAAGCTCGAATTGGTTTCAAGCCAGTTGTCGCGGATAGGATCGAAGTCGACGAGCTCGACGAAGCCGTTCCCGTCGGTGTCGCCAGCCACAAACTCCGGCACGACTGAAGTCACGCTTTCGTAGGTCGCTCCCAAGCGAAGCTCGTCGTAAGTGAAATCCCCCGCGATGCCGAAGCGGGCGAACGAGGTGGCGTTAATATTGATGTTGAAACCTGTGGCGGAGAAGTCGATTGTCGAGAGCGACTCGTCGGAGAGGTTCTCGGGGTTTCGCCAGACCGTCACGGCGTCGGCGTCGTTGACGTCGCTGAGATCGAACTTCGCGACGAAGAAATTCGTGAGGCCGTCGTTCGCACCCAGGTCTCCCGCGAAACCGTTGCCAACATCCGAGTTGAACAGCGAGACGGAGTAATTGGGCGTCTGGGCCACCCCGTCGATGTTCTCGCCTACGACGATTTGAAACTGCCGATCGCCGTCCCCCAAGCCGTTAGCGTTATGCAACTCCAGCCCGCCGTAGGTGACCTGCGTTCCATTGGTCGCGTTCAGCGCCTCCATCATGAAACTCATGTAGAGCGTGCGGTTTGACGCCCCGTTGACCGGGGTGGAGAGCGTACGGCCGATTCGACCCTCGAAGGGGCTGGCGCCGGCAATCGTCTCGATCGCTCCTCCCGCGACCGGGACCGTGCCGTATGAAAGCCCGGATTCGGTGGTCTGCCACGCGTTGCCCTGGAAGCCGTCGTTCCACGGCCCGGTCCAGCCCAGGATGTTGGGGGACTGGCCCAGCACCTGCCCGGCGGTGTACTCGCCGTCCGACGGGTCGGAGCCGAGCACAAAGCTGTCGATCGGTTGGGCGAGGGCGCAGCTCGATAAAACGAGAGCCATGGTGATGGCTGCCGCGAATGGCGTGTATCGGAACATCGGAGGAATCTCCTGAGGAATCACTTAGGGGTTGTGCGATGAGTGCGGTGGCTACGACTCGGAGGCCTCCGCAGCGAGAGGACGGTGACCGCCGACGCGTCGGCGGTGTAACATCGAACGTTAATCTTTGCCCATCGGCCTGCCGTATTTTGAGCACGGTCGACCCACGCTACTTTAAGCGGCAACGCGTTCCAGCGACGCCCAGCAGGCTCGCGAGGGCCAGCATGACCGACGCCGGTTCCGGCACGGGCACGAGGACCGTGCCGACCATCTGCCCGTCGCCGCTGCCGATATTGCCGCCGCCACCGATTCCGGGCAACACCTGGTTCGAAATGAAAGTCCCGTCACCGCTTGTGACGAACGCCGAGATCCTGACGGCGCGGTTGGTCATGTTGAACGCGGTCGCCATATCGATTTCAAACTCGAAACCCGTGGTCGCAGTAGCCGCCCCCGCAGCGCTGACGCCGTCCACGCCGAGCACATTCGAGTTGTCCCAGCCGACGGTCACACCAAGGTTCGAGGCATTGGCGATTGGCAGGTCGCCGGGGCCGCCCCCGCTGGTAACATTAGCGCCCGTGTTGTCGACAAGATCAAACCAGTTGACGCCGAAGTAACCGCCGCCGACCTCCAGACGCAGCCCGTGGTCCATCGCGACGCCGCCTTCAAACGATAATCCCGCCAGGTTGTTGATTTCGTTGAACCCGCCATCGACGTTATCATTCTGCAGGGTGCTCTCGCCGCCCGTGATGGCGTCGAAGAAGATAAACATTTTGTTGAAGTTGCCTTCCAGGTTGCCGGTGATGCCGAGCGTGAGCGTCGTGCCATCGTTTGATGCGTAGAGCTGATTCAGCTCTGAGCCTCCGGCAGAGTCTTGGCCGCCGCCGGTGGCGTTGCCGAAGCCGGTTGGCGAGTCTTGCGTCGCTATCAGGGGAAGCCCCTCAAGCGGAATGCCCTGGCCGTCGATGGTCGCCGCTCTGAGGGACGAGCCGGTGATAAGCATGGCCGCGACGGTGCAAGTCAGTAGTCGTCTCATTAGTTCAGTACCTTCAAATTGGAGACAGAAGTCAAAGTGTCAGTCGTAGGCGTATTTCTGTGTGCTAACGTGTCATCTGATCGCTGCGCCCCCGCAGCAATCAGCGCAACTCGAGGGGCCGCTCATGTTTTGCATGCCGAATCGATCTCAGCGGCTGCGGGTTTGAAGTGTCGTTCAGAAGACTCGGGTATCTGCGGTCCTTTGACCACACTAAGGTTCGTTCGGCCTATGGAGCTATTTAGTAAGGGAAGCAACCAATGGCAGGTTCGCCGCCCATCTACGCGGACTTTGTTCCGCCGGAATGTTCAACGCCAAGCCCGCTCTCCGGTTGAGCAATGCCACGGGATGCATAAGGTTGTTTCGGATGTGGTCGCGCTGCCCAGTCACTGCGCGGTAGTTGGTGCCAACCCGGACCTCGTCAATCTCATGAGTCTTCGAGCCCTCAAAATTACCGAGGCTGATGCGATCGAACGCGAAATTGCCGCGTAACCTAGCGACTTCCCGATTCTCCGATTCGTCAATCAGCGACTTTGGATTCCGGAAGATTACGGCCTCGTCACGGTCATCATCGCGGAAGTCGATGCGGATGACGATTAAGTTGGCTTCAGTGTTCTCATCGCCCAGCGACGGGTAGTTCGAGGCCCCGTAGGCGTTGTAGTTGGAGGTGACGCCGTAGCCAGCCCCGTCGGCGCCGTTTCCCACACACAGCACTCGATTGGCGTTGCCGTCGCCCCGGTTCAACTCAAAGCCATAAAACACATCGTTGGTGCGGTTGACCCGTTGCAGGAAACTAACGTAGATGCGGTTTCCCTCGCGTCCTAAGAGACGGTGCCCGTCACGGTTCTCCACCAGCCCGGCCGCGTCGAACACGCCGCCGATGGACGTGCTGAGCACCCGCCGGATGCGGTTCGATTGCGCGACCTGAACCGCCCGGTTGCCAGCCAGTCGCGCTTCGCCGAACGCTAGGCTCGACTTTGCCACCTGGTTGGTCGCTTCGCCGTCGACCGGGTCGTTGGTCTCGATATCGGCCCACGGCCCGGCCCATCCGAAGCCGCCGTTCTGCCAGGAGAGAGGGCCCACCGGGTAGTCGAATCCCTCATAAGCGTAGAGCCCGCCGTGGGGACCGGAACTGCCCGAGAGCGAACGCACGAACCGGTCGTTGTTGGCGTGGAAACGGGCCACGGTCGTCGACGCCGGGCGCACCCGCGCGGCTTCTTGACTGTTCAGAAGTACCGAGCGTAGTTGATCGCCTGCTTGACTGAGCAAGTGGGCGTGGATCGTCCCATCGAACACGTGGACCTCGCCGCCGCCTAGGCCGTCGGATAGTAGTCCAAATTCTGCCGCCTGCGCCGGAGGCATCGATGTTTCGCCGCCTGCAAATCTTCCCACGCCGATCCGGCCCGTACGAACCAGGAACAGAGGAGCGTCATCGGGGACCCGTGCCGATAGTCGCCCGCTATCAAGGCTGGCCGCCTTGGCGTCATCGATATTGAATGACGCAGGGCCTTCCAGCAGAATGGTGGCCCCACTTCCGAAGGTGATCTCGGCAACGCCCGCCTCGAGATCGAGACGCTGGCCCGGGTATAGCTTTGCTCCAAACCCCGATCCCCCAGCTAGCTCACGCCAGCGGCAGTTACGTGTGGCAGAGATTCGCGCTACAGGCGTTGTGGCCTCCGGCGGATTCTCCGCGTTAACCTGTCGGTTGAGCAATTCTGCCCCCGGCTTGGTTACCGCCGATGTGAGGACACTCGACAAGACTGCGACCCCGATCAACGAAGCAGCAATTGCCCAGATGCTCACGGGCCTCGAAGTCGAAGAGTTGGCGCCACGGTTGTCGTCGACTTCAACGACCGCCGAAGCTGCAATGGTCTGCGACCGCGTGCTGTGCAGCGCATGCATCTCGGCCTCGACCGCAAGAAACTTGAGGTAGGTTTCGCGAGCGAGCGAGTCGTTCTCAAGCAGTTCATTGAATCGGGCGATGCGATTCGAGGGGAGGTCGCCATTGCAGAATGCATCCAGCAGGCCCCGCAACTCCGAATCGATGGATTCGTGATGACTCATGCCAGCCTCTCCGTCGCGAGCTTGCGGTCGATGCACCCGTGCAGGGATCGGCGGATACGGTTCATGGCTTTATAGACGGTGTTTGCAGGGCGCCCTAGGAGCTTGGCGACCGTCTTCATTGAGTGGCGGCTGTCTGAGTAGCAGTTCCGCACCAGCTCTCGATCCGCTTCCGGCAACTTTTTTAAGCAGTCGTGCAGAGCAATCCTCCGCGAGTCCATCAGGTCGGCCTTAGCGACCGCCTCGTCGGCGAGCAGGTCAACCACCGCGTCTGAAAGCGGCTTGGCTTGCTTTCTTTGGTTCCTGCGGAATCGGTGCACCTGGTGGTGCGCGATAACGCTGGCCCATTTCATGAAATTCGTGTTCGGGTCGAATTTGTCGTAGTCTCGCCAGAGGATAACACACACCTCTTGGAACACTTCTTCCGCGTCGGTCGGCGATCCGAGCAGCGACACAAGGTAGGCGAACAGCCACCGGTCATTCGTGGCGAAAACGCGCGCGAACTGGACCCGCAGGTCGCGGTCGCCCGTTGAGTCGCTGGAAAAGTCGTCGGTTGCCGCCATCCGCCGCTCGTCTCGTGAGTGATCAGTGATCGCGGCGTAGAATAACGCCACCGTGCCCCTGACTCTGTTGTAATGCGCGTGGCGTTCGGAATTGGTACTAAGAAATGCAGAATATCGCACCCAGTTCTTAGACACTGGCGAGTGGAGCCGGCATTGGTGCATGGTAAACGCTAACTGCGTAAGGACTTGCGCCTTTTTTGCGGGGGCGTGTAGGTGCGGCTCCGCGAGAACCGCAGAGAGTGAGAGGCGGCCCCGAAACGGGAAGTCCGCCGATGGATCCGGCGAGCGGCGCCAGCCGCCCTACCAAGCAATGCGTTGCGTGTGATGGTTAACACCGCCGCGAAAACATTTTTTGTCGAGCACTACTGGTTTCCGCCGACACGGGGGCCACGCGGCGTCGCCGTAATGGGCGGTCTAGCGGGCAAGGGGGCACGCAGCGCTAAGCTCTAGCCGCTCTTTTGACGCTTGCGCCGGAGGAGCTCTTCGAGAAACTCGCGGATGTCGTCCCCGAACAGACCCGCAGTCTCGTACCGGTCTTGGGGCTTCTCGGCCAGCGCCTTCATTAGGATCCGCTCGATCTCGCTGTTGAAGCCGGGGCGGAGTTCGCTGGGCCTGCGGGCCCGTCCTTCAGCGATCTCGCGAATAGTCTCCCAGCGGTTGTGGTGGTTAACCTTGTGCGGGTGCTTCCGTACGAGCATGACGTACAGGATGATGCCCAGGGCATAGATGTCTGCCCGGCCGTCAAGCTGGTCGGTGTCGCCGCGAGCCTGCTCGGGCGCCATGAACAGTGGCGTGCCGATGACGCTCCCCTCCATCGAATGGACCGCGGAATCCTTCTCCGACGCATTGAACATGGACCGCGCCAGTCCAAAATCGACGATCTTCGGCTCCCGGTCTTCTGTCAGCATGATGTTCGACGGCTTGAGGTCGCGGTGAATAACGCCTTTCTGGTGCGCGTGGTCCAAGCCGTCGCATACTTTCGAGATCAGGTGCAGCAGCACCGCCGGCTTCGGCGATTTCTCCTGGACGTGTTGCTCGAGCGTACCGCCGGACAGCAACTCGACGGCGTAGTAGCCCAGCGTCTTGTCGATTTGGCTGTCGTAGATCCGGGCAACGTTGGGGTGGTCTAGCTTCTCCATCAGTTCAATCTCTTGCGCGAAACGCCCAAAGACGTCCTCAGTCGCGAGGTCGACCCGGATGATCTTCAGTGCGATCGGCTCGCCGGTTGACTGACGCAGCGCCTGCCAGACCGACGCAAAGACGCCCTTGCCCAGCAATTTCTGGACCTCGTAGCCATCGACCCGCGGGACGGCCCATTCCTTCGGCGGAACGAGCTTCACGATTCGTTCAGCGGCCGTCAGCTTGCTGCGCAACACTTTCGGGTCGATCGGCTTCGTGAGGTAGTCGTCCGCTCCCGCGTTGAGCCCCGCCACCATGTCTTCCTGCGCGTCTCGGCTCGTGAGCATCACAACGTACGTGAAGGGGTGGTCGGGGTTGCGCTTCACCCGGCGGCAGACGTCAATGCCGTCCATCCCCGGCATCTGCCAGTCGAGGATAGCCAACCGGGGCGAGTCGTCCCGCAGCAGTGCCTCTAGCGCCTGATTCCCGTCCTCGACGGCGACCGGTTCGTACCCCCAGGTCTCGACGTTGCGTGACAGCACAACGCGGTACATCGCATTGTCTTCAGCGATGAGGACTTTCATCGCGGCGCTCCTTCAAGGTTGGTGACCGCAAGCCGGTGTCGCGGGACTCGGCGTCCCCTGACGCTCAGCGCGATCTTAGGGCCTGGCATTGCGAAGTGCCTCCAAGAGTTCGTCGACGCGCCGTTGCAGTTCTTGCCAACCGCCGGCCGCCTCCGCGAGTCTGCCGTCTCGCCCCAGGTGCTCGATGCTTTTTGCTGCCGCGGTGGCCTCACCGGCGGCGAACAACGCAACCGACCCCTTCAGGGTGTGGGCGGCGCGCATCAGCCCCTCGCTGTCGTCCCGTTTTAACGCTTCGGCGATTTCCGCCATTTGCTTTGGGCACTCCACGCCAAACAAGTCTATCATCTCGGCCAGCATCTCGGTGCTGCCGCCAACATTCTCTAGTGCCCGCTCGTAATCGAACCGACGCGGATGGTCCGCGACGCACGCAGCGGCGCCCCCCGGCCGGTCAGGTGGACGCGATTCTTCAGCCGAGGCTGTGACATGGTAGTCTTGGGCCGGTTTCACCTTCTCGACCACCGCAAACAGCTCCGGCGGCCTGAACGGTTTGGAGACGTAGTCGTCCATGCCAGCGTCCAGGCAGCGTTCGCGGTCACCTTTCATCGCGTGAGCCGTCATTGCGATGATTGGTAGGCGGCGCCCCGACGAGGATTCCAGCTGGCGTATCTCCGCGGTCGCCGCGAAGCCGTCGAGGACGGGCATCTGGATATCCATGAGGACGAGGTCGAACTGCTGGCTGCGGACGGCGTCGACCGCCATCCGCCCATCCTCAACTGCCGTGACATCGTGCCCCCGTTTCTGCAGCAGACTGACCGCCACTTTGCGGTTCACGACGCCATCCTCAGCAAGCAAAATCTTTCTTGGAGTGAACGCGCCGTCACGATCTGCCGTGAGGCTGCTGGCCGGCGCCTCGTCGACGCGCGCGGTTCCGAGGACGCTGGTGATGCTGTTGAGAAGATTAGACTGCGTTACCGGCTTGGTCATGCAACGCGCCACGCCGAGTTCGGCGGCCAGGGTTCTGTCCTCGGGCCGGTTCGCGGACGACAGCATGATCACGGAGAGGGACTGGGCCTGAGAGCGGTCGCGCAGCCGACGGACCATTTCGAAGCCGTCCATCCGCGGCATCATGACGTCGACCAGCGCGAGCCGGTACGGGGAGCCGCTGCTGGATACGCGGTCAAACTCCTGCAGCGCCGCTTCACCGCTCTCGACCGCCGTTGGTTTCATTCCCCAGTTAGTGAGCATCTCGGTGCAAATGAGCCGATTGGTGTGATTGTCGTCGACCACCAGCACAGGGAGCTCGTGCAGCGTTGAGAGTTGGGCGGAGGAGAACTCTAGTGTCTGCTCCGCGCGGTCAAGAGTCGTGGTGAACTCGAATGTGCTGCCGACGCCGGGCTCACTCTCAACCGATAGGTTACCTCCCATCAATCGGACCAGCTGCGAAGAGATTGCCAGCCCCAGCCCGGTGCCGCCGTACTGCCTCGTGGTCGAGGCGTCCGCCTGTGTGAAGGCGTCGAAGATTGACGCCTGCTTTTCGGGGGAGATCCCGATGCCGGTGTCGCTCACGGCGAATCGCAGGGTCGCGGTATCGTCCGTGACGTCGACGGGCGTCACCCTCACAACGATCTCGCCCTCGCTTGTAAACTTGATCGCGTTGCCCACCAGGTTAACCACGATCTGACGCAACCGGCACGCATCGCCCACGAGGTCGTCCGGCACGCTCGGCACGATGTGGACAGCCAGCTCTACGTCCTTTTGGGCCGCGCGGCCAGCCAGAGTGTGCAGCGTTCCGCCGAGCGTGTCGCGAAGCTTTAGGGGCAGCTCCTCCAGTTCGAGCTTTCCTGCCTCGATCTTAGAGAAGTCGAGAATGTCGTTTAGAAGCGCCAGCAGTGAATCCGCCGACCGCTGCACGAGCTGCTGATACTCGCGTTGCTCGTCGGTTAGCGGGGTGTTGAGCAGCAGCTCCGTCATCCCGATAATCCCGTTCATCGGCGTGCGGATCTCATGGCTCATGTTGGCCAGGAAATCGCTCTTTGCGCGGTTGGCCGCCTCGGCCAATGCGCTCGCCGCCACCAACTCTTGCTGCATCCGCTTCAGTTCGGTCACGTCCCGCGAGATGCCGAACGTCCCCACGATTTCATTCTGGTTGTTGCGCAGAGGCATCTTGGTCGTCGAGACCCACCTGTCATCGCGATCTCGCCACGTCTCCTTCTCTACTTGCGCGATGACAGGCTCGCCGGTCCTCATGATTTCGCGCTCGTCGGCCAACGCTTGCCGGGCGTGCTCGGCGGAAAAAATATCGGCGTCCGTCTTGCCGATAGCGTCGTGGGGACTCGCTAATCCGAATAGTTCAGCCTGCGACTGACTCACCCGCAAGAACCGACTTTCTTGGTCCTTGAAGTACACGGAATCCGGGATGCTGTCCATGAGGGAACGCATCAGCCCCTGTTCAAGGTCGAGCGCCTCCTCAATCCGCACCTGGTCGGAGATGTCCCAGAACACGACCGCGACGCCGACAATCTTGCCACCGTCGTCTCGCACGGGGCCTTTGATGCGGTCAATCTGGCTCATCCCGCCGTCGGACGCCCGCCGCTCTTCCACGCCCCGCAGGACCTCGCCCGTCCGCAAAACGTGTTGATCATCCTCGTAATACTTCTTTGCGGTCTGTTCTGGAAAAAGATCGAAGTCGGTCTTGCCCAATACGCCCTCGCCACCGTCTGGGTGCAGCGTTAAGTACTGGTTGTTTAAAAACACCCGCCGGCCGTCGGTGTCCTTAACGACCAGACTCACTGGCAGGAGATCAAGAATCGACTGGGTGACGCTGGCAGGCGTGGAAGAGGCAGGCGTCGAATGCGTCTCGCCGTCGACAGTCAAAGTTTGGCCCGTGAGCATGGACGCCCAGCCGACCGAATAGTTCTTCCGGGAGGGCATCGCATCCGCCTCCACCTTGCCGCATCGTAAAGAAGAGCAGGGCGCCCAACCCGTGCGGTTGCGACCGGGCGCGCCCGCATTCTACTCCAACCCGCTTCAGATTCCACAGATTTGATGAGACGCTTGCGGGGGGGGCCGAAGGAGCCCTACGCAGAGTGATGTCGATCACTCGACGCGTCACGAGCGTGGGATATGATCCTCGCGCCGCGTAGTCCTGCGGTAGTGAGCGCAGCTTAAGGCGTCGCGGGAAGAAGGCTACTGTGCAATCCAACTGGTAGCAAACCTTTCTTCTAAACCACGAAAAAACTACGAAGCGTCGACAATAATTGCGTAGAAGCACGCCTCAGCCCTCGCTGGCATATCACGGTCACGACGTCGAAGGATTCAACCGCCCTCAATCCCCACGCTCGAGTTCTAACTGAGCGACGTCGAGGAGCGATGCGCCCGGGACTAAAGGAGGTCTAGTTCAGAGTGCCCGCAGGTCGTTGCCGCTTTGGGGCATGTTCCAACGCCAATTCTGGCGGCAACTCGTAGGCGTCCGGCCTCTGCTACTGCGCAGTCAGCTACTGCTTCGCTCAGTTTCGAAAATCCCGCCCCCGCCACGCGAATTACCCGGGGGGCTGGTTGGGGATCAACTCGCCCTACTGATCAAGCTCCTGTCCTTGGTGCGTTGCAACGACTGAGGCCGGCCCGCTGGCCTGGGGGTGGCGGTGGCTTGCAGGCAAGCTAGGCCGAGGGAGCTCGCCGCTCAGACCGAAGGCCTAGCCGACGAAGCGTTGGCTCTGGCCAGGAAAGACGGGCGAGTGGATGTTACAGGCCGCACCCCTGCATCGGACCGTCGCCGGAGCTCGCTACGCATCCCCCTGATGAGGTTTCGACGTGAGACTCACCATTCTCCATCGACGGCGAAGCGAGTGTCTCTGCGATCCATAGCTGTCGCCAGCTCCGCCTTCATTGGCCACGAGCGGCACGCCTCCTTCTCCCACGGCCGCCATCGGGAGAGAGTGAGACTACCCATCAGCGGTGAGCGCGGCGCGAGTGCAACCGCATTGAGTTCGACGCGGCTCAGGGAGGCGGTGTTCCGCGTATTTAGGGTCGCAACTCATGGGGTTCGTTCGTGTTTCGGAGAATTCCGCCTTTCTGGGAAATTGTGCGGAATGACTTTGGCAGTCCCGGTAATTATTAATGCAACGCAGGTCGCGCAGCCGCTCTCGCGGCGAGTTAATCGCCGGAACGCGGAACGTTTTTCGATAATTTCCTGTTTTAGTTCGTAATTCCCGATCCGGCCTGCGGATCGCGGCTGCGGGGTTCGTCCGCAGTCGCTGCGTTAGAGGCTTTTTCATAAAGAAAGATTAGAGCCTGAGCGGGTTGGCGTTGCTTGTCTTGAATCGGGCGTTGAAGTGGATTTACGTAGTGTGGTTGCGGCGTGGGGGGCAGCCCGGCAATCGGTGAGGCGGATTGCATGCTGGGACGCCGGGCCTGCTGCCTGCCTTCTCCGTGGTCGGCTTGTTAGTAGCGGCGTCGGCAGCGCTGTTGCTGAGTTCGAGTGAGTTGCTGTTTCCGCGGCCTAGTAGGGGCGGCGGGGTTCTAATCCGTTTGTCTTTTCTATCGATGAAGTGAGGCGACTGCGAGATCTTCTTGTAGTTTCCGCGGCCCTTGCATGGGCGGCGGAGCGTTGCACCCTTGGTTCTCTTGTTTTGAAAGCGAAGTGACTAATGACTTTTAGAGAAAACTCCTCCCTGGCGTGTGTGTTGGCCATGACGGCCGCGTTCTGCTGCAGCACCGCCCTCGCTATTGACGTCCCGCTTAGTGCGACTTGGTCCGAATCGGACCCGGCAAATCTTGGTAGCGGGGTGCAGACCCTTTCGGGCGAGTCCGCAACGGGCTACACCACGACCATTAGCGGCGTAGTCGGGGAAACCGGCGAGATTCCGCAGGTGTACCAGATTTTTGATCCGTTGCGATTGAATCAGATCGGCGACAAGGTCGAGTTCGCCTTCGACATCCAGTTCTCCACCGCGACGGACATCTCGATCGATACCGACTTCCGCGCTGGCATCAGTTCCACCGCGAACAATTCGGGCGCTGTGTATGGGTTTGACGGCGGACCTCTCGGCGGCACTTCGGTCCGCCTCCGCTACGACACTAATGGCGTCACCTTCATCGGCGACCCGATGGTGGACGCCGGTTATCCTTTTGCCTTCGACGAGAATAACATCAATCACTCCTTGAATGCTGGTGGCACGCTCGCCAGCAGCGGAGGCTCGCCAGCGGGTTCGGCAGTAGGTGAAAACACCACCGAAACCCACTCCTTTTTGTTGTCGCTTGAGCGCGTAGCGGGAGGGCTTGTCGGTTCCGCTTCGTGGACCTCCGACGCCCCAGGCGCGGTGCCTGTTGTCAATACGTACAGCAGCCCGTTTGACGACACCTCTCTGGCACTCGGTACGACGAATGAGATCGACATGATCCAGATCGCGATGCTGGAAGAGAACATCAGCAACACCTACCCGGTCAGCTGGACGGTCTCCAACGTCCGGGTGTCGGGCACGCCGGTCCCTGAGCCGGGTTCGATGTTGCTGGCCGTTGGATCGATGGCGTGCGTTGGGCTGCGTCGTCGGCGTAGCTGCTAGTACGGGTGATCGTAATCCGATTTAAATAGCTGTCGATATGGGGGGGGCGTGGAGTTGACCTGACCTTGCGTCAGGCCGCTCCTGCTCCCCCTTTTACTGATCAGGGCGCCTCATTCAACGAGATGGCGTCATTATTCTCGAACAATGAGATCTCGCGATTTTATCCGCAACATTACTGCCGACTCACGGTTCCTCTAGAGAGGGAGCGAGGAGCCAGGCGTCGCAGAAACTCATTCTGCACTTCGGTTAAAGTACAGCTCGATCTCAAAAGGGTTGAGCGTTGAGCGTAGCCCGCGTGGAGCGGTTTCTTGAGTAGGCATTTTACACCTTCGTTCGATCTCGATAGAGGCCTCCTAATGGCGCTGACTTCTCTGAAGGGTTTACTCCGCTTGCACTGTGCGGGGTGGGTGGCGGCCGCGCTCCTCCTGGTTGGCTTGGCTACGCCGTCCGGCGCCCAGGTGATCGCTTGGAGTGCAGATGACGGCGGCGGCGCGGGCTCCGGGACGGGTGATTTTTTTGACGCTAGTAACTGGGCGACGGGCGTCATTCCTGTTGGCAACAACAAGGCGCCAAAGATAGATGGTGGTGGCACGGCTATTATCACCGCCGCCGGCACGGGGGCGGGCATCGACACAGAAGCCCTTATCGCCGGTGATGCTGCGGGGAGCTCGGGCGCCTACCAGATGGATAGCGGCTACATGGTGATCTACGACGCGGCCGGTTCGGTGCTGGGGAACAACGCCGGCGCAAGTGGCGCGCTCGTCATGAATGGGGGAGCAATCGATTTCGGAGACGTCCCGGGCAATGGAGCGGCCGGGGGGGCGTCCACACTCGTGATCTCCAATGCCCCCGGGACATCAGGCAGGCTGGAACTGCACAACGACGCCGTGCTTCGTAGCCTCGAGGGTTGGGACATTGCCGCCGGTGGCGGGGATACTGCCCACGGGACGCCGAACCTGCCTACGGGCGTCATCGTCATGGACGGCGCCTCACGGGCAAGTCTCGCGGGCGGCGTTAATAACAAAGGCGCGATGAGCATGCACCTCTCCGACACTGCTCAGCTGACGCTCGGCAACAGCCTAGGACCGGCGGACCTAAATGGTTCCTACGAGCTTGGCAACGGTATTCTCAATATCGGCGGTCGCCATGGGAACACGGCAGACATCGTCATTGAGGACAACGCCATCCTCAACCTGTCGATTCTCTACAATCAAAAAGCGAGAGCAACGATCACCGTGCGAGACAACGGTGAATTCAATATCTTCAACACCTCGACCGGTGGGACAGAGACTGACTTCCGATCGCAGAATTATCTGGGTCGAGAGAACTTCAACAACGACGATCCTGACCAGATGACCAGCACCATCATCACCCTCGAGGGATCGGGCAAGTTTCGGGTCGACAGCAACCCCAACTCGTTCGGTGACCCCAGCCAGGACCCGTTCCCCGACGGCCACCCCGACCTTGTATCGACGGCAGGGCTGATCCTATCGTCCGGAGACGATGAACCGCTGCACAGCGGCGACGATTCCAACAACCACTACCGTGGAGGTCTGACGGTTATCGACGTTAAGGACAACGCCGAGTTCTCGGTGGTGCAAGGGCTCTGGATGACGGCGGGCACGGGAGCATCCGCTTCTTCCACCCTGAAGGTCACAGGTCCTAATGCGACGGTCTCACTTGGCGACCTGATCATGGCGGAAATTATTGATCAGACGCTCAATGGTGACACCGTGACGTTTGGAGACCCCTTGTACAGAACACGCAGCGGCAAGGCCGAGCTGCACAGTGTCATCACGGGATCGAGCCACTCCATCATCCAGGTGACCGATGACGCTCGCATCGGGAACGGTGAGCTGGTGGTTGAGTTGAGTGGTTACAGCCCCGTGGCCGGCGACAGCTACACGCTGTTGCAAACGAGTAACAACGCCGGGATTGCTGGGGAGTTTAAGTCGGTCGATCTCTCTCTGGCGCCGTTGGGTAGCGGCTTGTCCTGGGACTTGATCTACAACGCTGACAGCGTGGTGTTAAGTGTCCTGGGCGACACGACCCCACTCGCCGGCGATTACAACGGCGACGGGTCGGTCGATGCCGCCGACTACACGGTGTGGCGGGATACCATGGGTTCGACCACCATGCTGGAGGCTGATGGCGACGGGAGCGGCACGGTCGACCTCGCCGACTATGATTTCTGGAGGACGAACTACGGAGCGACTGCCGGCAATGCAGCCCCGGCCGGCGCAGCGGTTCCAGAGCCCACCACCCTGATCTTAGCCCTGGCGATGTGCGGCCTGTGTGCCTGCCGCCGGGTTGGCTCTTATCAATGACTAGTTACGCACTTAAGGAACACAACACCATGAAATGGTTGAAGCAATTTAATTGGCTAATGACTCGATCTCTTCCCCGCTTCTTGGGAGTGCTTTGCGTGCTGTCTACCGCTTGCGGGTCGGTCAGCGCGGCGACCCAGCAGATCGTGCTCGGCAGCACTTGGTCTGAGCACGATCCCTTCCAGTTGGGATCGGGCGTACAAACACTTTCCAATCAATCCTCCACAGGATTTACGTCGACCCACACGGGGTCTGTCTCGGACCTGGGCGATCGCCCTCGCGTGTACCAGGAGTTCACCGGGGTGGACACCTCTCAAGTGGGGCAGAAGCTGAGCGTCAGTTTCGACGTGCAGTTCCACGACCTGCTCACCGTGGGCGACACCCAGTTCCGCTTTGGCTTCGGCGACCGGACGACCAATCAGGGGTTGGTGCCGATCATGATCGATATTGGCCCCACCGCCGGCAGCTCGTTTCGGATGCGTTACGACAACAGCATCAGTGATCTGCCCGACGCTCAGGGCACCGTGTTTGAACCCGGGAACTACAGCGGTTTCTTGAGCGCCAGCGGCACCTTCGGTGACGGCGGCAGCAACCCCACTGGGGAGGCCAATGGCAGTCTGGGGGTGGACACCAACGTTACCCACACGTTCACCACCACCGTTGAGCGTGTTGAGCGGAACGTCGACTTTTCTTTTCCGCCCGACGGCATTGCCGACCAGGTCGTGAACGGCTGGTACACCACCGTCACCTGGACCAACGATGTGACCGATGCAGAAGTGCTGTTTGTGGACACCAACAACGCCGCCTTTGCCGAGTTCGACGTCGAGACCGGCCTCGGGGTTTACGACGAGGACTTGAACAACGCCAGGGGACGCATCGAGAATATCGACACCCTCGGCTTCATGATGTTCAACAACCAACCGTTTCTTGATGGCGTCGGCAGTTTCACCGTCTCAAACTTCCTTGTGGAGTACGACGACGGCCTGTCAGTCGAGGGCGACTACAACGGCGATGGCAACGTTGATGCGGCCGACTACACCGTGTGGCGGGACACGCTCAACTCGACGACCGATCTGGCCGCTGACGGCAACGGCAACATGGTCATCGATCAGGCCGACTACGACGTGTGGAGAGCCAACTACGGCGGCGCTGGCGCGAGCTCCGTTGGCGCCCAGGCGGCGCCGGAACCCGGCGCGATGTTCTTAGCCATGGCCGCCGGCTCCATGTTCGTACGCCGCCGTCAACGCAGCTAGTTACCCTAAGGGAAGATTTGATGCTTAGCAGATGGATGGAAGTATCAGGCGAGTTTGCGCCGCGAACGCTTGTTGGACTCTCGGTGGTGCTTACCGCATTCGTCGTGGGCTGTGGGTCGTCGGGCGTCCCGTTCGGTGTCGTTCCGGTCGAGGGCAAGGTGACCTATGAGGATGGAACCCCGATCCCGGGCGTATCCGTGCAGTTTGTTCCCCAGACGCCGTCCCTAGACGCGAAGACGGTGCCGCGGCCCGGAGTCGCTGGGATCGCCGACGATGGGACGATCGAACAAGTCACCACTTATGACTATGCCGACGGCCTCGTCCCCGGGAAGCACAAGGTGATCGTCAAGTCCAAGACCGGCAATGGGCAACGGACCCAAGCGGTCGACGCCAAGTACAGCAGCGCCGACACAACCCCGTTAATCGTCGACACTGCTGAACTTCCGTTCGACATAAAAGTAGCAAAGCCCTAATTCGGAGAAGAGGTGTTTTATGATCGCTCTCAGGCAAGATTCACGGAGGGGCTTCACGCTTGTGGAGCTATTGGTAGTCATCGCCATCATCGGCGTCCTGGTCGCGTTGCTGCTCCCGGCGGTTCAGGCGGCAAGGGCTGCCGCACGCCGCACGCAGTGCCAGAACAACTTGAAGCAGGTTGGTCTCGCGTTGATGAATTACCATTCGACCAACGGGATCTTCCCTCCCAGCTCGCAGTGGCCCACAAACGCGAATGGTGAACCCCAGGGGCTCTCCAGCAAGACGTTCGCCGGCCATCAGGCGAACTGGGTGATCCTTACGCTGCCCTACATGGAAGAGCAGACTACCCTCGACGCGTTTAATCTCGACTTCCCGATCCCTGATCCCGTGAACGAGATTGCACGCAGCACTCAGATACCGGGTCTGCTCTGCCCCGAGGATCAGAACAACGTACAGCTCTTTCAGGGGAACACGAAGGCCTCCACGAACCACTTCGGCCCCAATTGGGCGCGGGGGAACTACGGGGCGAATGCGGCTCTGGGGGCTTTGTCGACGAATGGTCACGGGGAGTATAGTGCGGGGGGCAAGAAGTCGCCGGGCTGGAAGGACGACCGCCTCCGTGGCGTAATGGGCGCCAACTCAGCCGTTAAAATCGCGCAGATCACCGATGGCACCAGCAAGACGATCCTGGCGAGTGAAATCCGCGCCGGCTTGTTCCCGTTCGATGTCCGTGGCGTGTGGGCACTGGGCGGCAGTCCCAGCGCGCTGTGGCGCCACGGTTACTACGGTGACGCGGCGGGCCCGAACTCACCGGGCGACGAGGCCGACGACATGATCGGCTGCTCGGACGTCACTCGCGAATTCGGGTCCAAGGTTGGTTTGGCTAGAGAGAAAATGGGCTGCATCGAGCGGTCTGGGAACATCCAGCAAACCGCCCGTAGCCTGCACAATGGGGGGGTGTTTGCTACGTTCGCGGATGGCAGTGTGCACTTTATCAGTGACAACGTTGAGATCCGCGTTGATGGAATCACGGAGAACCCGCCGTACGTCTCTGCCTGGGACCGGCTAAACCTCTCAGCGGACGGTGAAGTCTTGGACTCAGACTCCTTCTAGCGGCGTTATTCCTAAGGACGCCTGCTTGCTGAGGCGAAGTGGACGTAGGCGTTCAACCTAAGACGCCCTTGGACGGATGGGGCTGACGCTTGCGCGGGAAGGGCAGTCTCAGCAGTTCACGTCCTGGACAGGCAGAGCTGCCGTAGACGTTCTCTTGATCGGCGAGGGCGTGATTTACCTATCAACCATCGAATCTGTCGCGGGGGCGGCAGGCGTCGATGTTATACGCATGGAGAATGCAGCGAATGGTGCGTTTTGTGTTCGCGTGGTTGGCATGCAGCGTAGCCGCAGCCGCAACGCCGTCGGGTTGGCTGATCCATGATCTAGATCGCCCTCAACCCCCGGTCGTGCAGCCGGCTGAGCTCGCCCTGCCGACGCCACCCCCGTCCGACGCCCAGGTGCTGTTCGACGGGAGTGACCTCGCCCAATGGCGTTCCTTTGAGGGCGGACCACCTAAGTGGGTCGTTCGCGACGGCTACATGGAGTCGGTGCCCGACAGTGGTAAACTACTCTCCGCGGATGGCTTTGGTGACATTCAGCTGCACCTGGAATGGGCATCGCCGGACCGTCCGTCGGGAGCGGGGCAAGACCGCGGCAACAGTGGCGTGTTTCTGATGGGAGAGTACGAGATCCAGATCTTGGACTCCTATCGGGCGACCACCTACCCAGATGGCCAAGCGGCGGCGATCTACGGCCAGTACCCGCCACTGGCCAATGTTTGTTTGCCGCCCGGCGAGTGGCAGTCGTTCGACATCCTGTTTCGACGCCCGCGTTTCGACCATCAGGGGCAACTCACGACGCCGGCCAGGATCAGCGTGATCCACAACGGGGTATGGGTTCAGGTTGACCGCGAACTGTGGGGCCCTACCTCCTGGCTTAAGAACTTCCCTTATGCTGCTCACGCGGAACGTTTGCCAATCGCGTTGCAAGACCACGGCAATCCGGTCCGATTCCGCAACATCTGGGTCAGAGATCTGCCCGAGGACCCACAGCCGGCCCCCGCGACCGTGCGTCCGTACGCTTCTGTCGCGATCGAGAAGCTTGAGTCGCTAGTGGGAGAGTATGGCATGGGGGAAGAGGAGAGTCTGTTCAAGGTCACGATGGACGATGGATGCCTGCGGTTTGAGGCGCCGGGCAGGCTGCCCCTGGAGCTCGTGCCGGTAAACGAGAACACCTTCCAACTGAGGCACACCGACGGTCGCGTTGAGTTTCGTCGCGACGACGACGGGCAGGGCGCCCAAGTGCGGCTTTTCGTGGGAGGTAAGGAGTACGACTCTCGGCGGATGAGTACCTCGCGGTAAGATGAGGTTGCACCTCATGATGAACACGGGAACAGCCTTAGCGAGGCGAGAGTCAAAAACCAGCGCTGATTAATCGTACTACTAAATATGGTTCTAGATGTCTTCTTCGCACCATGCCGAACAAGAGCCCGATCGGCTAGGCTTGCCTGCGCACAACGGCACCAGTGAGTCAGAGGCGGAATTTGTTCGCCTGCTTACAGGAGCCCAGTGCTCTCTACGAGGGTATATCCTCGCTCTGCTAGGCGGGCAAAAAAAAGAAGCCGATGACGTCCTCCAGAGCACGAACGTCACCATATGGGAGAAACGCGCGGAGTACGACTACTCGAAGCCTTTCCTTCCATGGGCGATGGCGTTCGCCTTCCATCGCGTTCAAGCGTTTCGACGGGACACGGCCCGTAGTCGCCTCGTCTTCAGCGACACACTCGTAAAGATTCTGCACGATTATTCAGAACAATCTCTCACCCACGCCCCAGTGGTTCAGGACCATCTCCGGCAGTGCCTGGATAAGCTCACGCCCGCCGAGCAGGATCTGGTCCACAAGCGCTACTACGGAAGGTGTTCTGTCGAATCCCTGTCCACCATGGTAAGTAAATCCGCGGGGAGTGTTGCTAATCGACTCTTTCGGATTCGTGAAAAGCTTCGGTCGTGTATACAACTCGGCATAGCAAGATCAGGGCACGAAGGATGAACGCACCAAGACACACACGTCGACAAGAGGTCGAACTGCGGTCGCTGGTCAGCGCAGTGGTAGACGACGCAGCGGGCGAGGACGAACTGAGACGCTTGGGAACGTTGCTAGAGACGCACCCGCATCTCGTGCCTCGGTATGTGGATCATGTAGTTATCGACACGCAACTGACTTGGGACTCGCTGGGAAAGGTGGTTCCGGCCAGAGCCGGCGGGCAAAGCAAGGCGACGCCAAACGGTACCGTTTCGCTCTCAGCGAGAGCACCCGCGCCGACAGCGAAAAGAGCCAGGTGGTGGGGAGGTGTGCTTGCGGCCGCTGCCGCTCTGATAATGTTTGCTTATCTCTTCAATAGCGGAACGCCCGTAAAGATGCAGGCGGGCGTTTTCGCGCAGGTGGAGAGGATGAACGCAGGCACACCTAGCACACACAAGGCTGGGGACGCTCTCGGCGCAGGCGTTTTTCGACTGTCTGATGGTGAATCAGCCACGTTGAAGTTTAGTTCTGGGTCGCAGCTCTACTGCGAAGGGCCGTGCAAACTCGACTTGGTGTCGCCAATGCTCGTCACGCTGGCGCACGGCAAAGTGACGGCGGATGTGCCGCCCCCCGCCATTGGGTTTACCGTGCTAACCAAGCGGCTTCAGGTTACGGATCTCGGAACCCGCTTCGGTGTCAAGGTGGACAACAATGAAGAAGTTGATGTCGTCGTGTTCGATGGCGAGGTTAACTTGTCTGATCGCGAGGGCAAGGTCGATCTGCCGGAAGGGCTCTTTGCGGGCGAGGCGTTGCGCGTTGGACATCTCGATCATTTCGAACGTCTGGTGAGCATCGGCCACGATCACCTGTCGGAGACCTGGGCTAGTAGCTGGCAGACAGACAACAATCTACGCCGCAGCGTGTTTACTAGCGTGACTGACAATCTATCTCTCGAAAGCGACCCGCATTTCTACGGAATAACGCCCCGCGGACTGATAGAGGACGCCCGTGCCTACAGCGATCGAGTCCACGAATGGAACAGCCTTCCAGGAAGCCCTTTGCCGGCGTGGCTGCATGGCGCCGACCTGATTCGCCGATTCAATAGCAGAAAGTACGAGCACTCCTCTCAACTAGAAGTAAACGTGACTGTTAGCACGGAATGTGTGCTCTACGTTATCTGGGATTCTCGGTGCAAGCCACTCAAGTGGCTGACGGAACGCTTCAAGAATACAGGTTACGTCATTGGAATGGACGAAGGCCCTTACCGGGATGGCGTGGATATTCTCGACGTTGGGCCAGGGCAGAGCATTGACACCACCTACAGCGTGTGGGCAGCGAAAATTGGAGTGGACGAAGCAGTCAACCTGGGCCCCGTAGAGAACGAGCATTTAGGGCAGTACAAAAACCTATACGGCATCGCGGCTAAGCCCGTAGAACGGATTTCCCCTGAGCACTTACCGCTGCTATTCGATTCGAGCGTTTCCGCAGAATCCGAGTAGCCAGCCGCAGCGAACCGCCCGGGTTTGCAGCGTAGATGATGCTCAGACGAGATTGCTCTCTGAGAAGTGTCCATCTTGAGAAGTCCCTGAAACTCGCCGTTGGTAGCGCAACTAAGACTCCGTAGGGTTTAGCACGCCAGGTTGGCGCCTCAAGAGCACTGATGACTGACCTTCCCCACGCGAATGGCGAAGGGTACAGGCTTTTGAGCAGGTCACTCGGCATCTGCGAAGGGATCGATCCCGCAGACGGCAAGGTTTGCCGGCTGGGAGCCTAAGCAGACTAACGGTAGGCATAGCGCTCAAGCAAATTACATGGCTGAGGGCACGCTCTTGGCCGCGTGATTGGCTCTAGGAAATCAATTGGGATCGCCCAATGGAGCGAGCGATAACCTCGAGGTGGTCGGTCTTGGACGTTCCAGCGACAGCCGCCTACCTTAAATGCGTTTCAGCAATCTAGTATTGATGCTCCTAGGCGTAATCATGACCACGCTGCTTCAAGCATGTCGCCCGAGGCTCAACTGTCGAACTCGGAGCGAATTAGGGTTCACTCTTGTTGAATTGCTCGTAGTAATCGCCATCATCGGGGTTCTCGTGGCGCTTCTTTTACCCGCGGTTCAATCTGCTCGCGAAGCTGCTCGACGAACGACATGCACTAACAAGTTGAAGCAGCTAGGTCTTGCTTGTCAAAATTACCACAGTGCCTTTGGTAAACTGCCACCTGGTGGTTCTGACTATTCCACACCATTTGGGAATGGGTACAAGTCTCCGGGAGGGCCTTCTTGGATAGCTTACTTGATGCCTTACGCGGAAGATCAGAACCTCTGGGACGCGATGGACTTTGATCGTCGGCCTTATGGCCCGTTGTTGGACGTGCTCGCGAACACCCCAGTTCCTTTAATCAGATGTCCTTCATCACCGCTGCCTCTATTCTCGCTTAACAGGGGAACCCTTGCAGCGGTTTCGGATTACGTCGGGATCTCTGGGCATGTTGGAGGCTTTGGTGGCCTTGAAGGTCCCGTACGATCAGACAACCCGTTTGGGCCCACATTTGGCGTTCTAGCGCGCAACGGTGTTTTCTACGACAACTCAAAGACAAGCTTTAAAGACATTACAGACGGAACGTCCAAAACAATGATCGCCAGCGAGGTCAGCGATTTAATTTTTGTTTCGACAGGGCAAGCACGAGACTACCGCCCCGGTGGTCGCGGGGAAACGGAGACAGAGAATGGCCCAGGGTTCCACGCTGGTTGGCAACGCAACACCACCCCGGACGTTTTGTATAACTGCACCACGCTGAGCTATCTTATCAACCCAGGGGAGCAATTGCTGTTTTCTACAGACAGCACCGACGGCGTTCATTTCCGTGGTTACAACACACCGCTGCGATCCGCTCACCCTGGTGGTATTCTCGTGGCGCTTGCCGATGGGTCGGTGCGTTTCCTCGTTGAAGACGTTTCCACGATCACTTTAGCCCGACTCTCCGACCGTTCTGACGGGTTTTCAATCGAAGAGTTTTAGTAGGCTTTAGCCAAGAGGAAACGGCAGCTAGGCCGCATAAGTTAATGAACTCTACAGAAATGATCATGGCCACCTTGTGGATAGGCGTCGCCTTATTGCTGCCAGGATGCACAGGCAGTGATGATCGCTTGCCCGCACGGTTTATGGTCAACGGGCAGGTGACACTTGACGGTGAACCGATCTCCGATGGAGCATCGATTGTATTTGTTTCGCAAACGGATGCAGAGCAAGGGATTCAAGGCTCCGCGAATATTGTCGCCGGTCGCTACGAGATATTGTTAACGCCTGGGAAAAAGCTCGCGAAAGTCAGCCACGTTGTCGAAACCCAACCGAATGTGTTCAAGAATGTCGTGCCGGCGAAGTACAACCAGAACTCGACTCTCGAGGTGGAAGTCAATAACCAAGAGCAGCAGCTAAACTTTAAGCTTACCACCAACTAACTTGCGGCCGGCCTGAGCCAGCTGTTCTCAAGTACCAAGCCTGCGAACAGATTGCTTTGATATCGGAAGAAAGGAAGAGGTAGTTTCCGTGGAGGACGCGTCGACTTAGAGGCATGTGATCAGAGCCGTTTTCAAGTGAGTTGCTCATAGGCATCGAGCCCGCCATCAATTTGTACATGGGCTTCGTAGCTGCTGGCGTGCCGAACTCTGCGAACGCCGACGACGCGGTACTGCTTGAGCCAGTCGCTGGTCCGCTCAACGGTCCAGCGGCGCCTTCCAAGGCCGGGCGGAGTATCCTTGCCGCTGTGGTGCCTCAGCCTGTGCGCCGCACTAGTTCAGCACGTGGAGATGGTCGTGTGACGGGTAGTCAGTGCGGGCCCGCCTTCCTGCAGCCTGCCGTCCGGGTGGGGGATCTCGCAGGACGTCAGCGGCAGCAAGAACCCCACGTTGTGCTCGCTGGCCCTCGAGCAATTCGACACGCTGCTCGAGGTTAAGGTCGTCATCGAGCGGTAGCGACGCCACTGCAACACGGTCGGCCCGCACTGCTCACATGGATATAGCACTGGCACTGGTTTCACTACTGGGGGCAGGTCACGGTCCTTCGTGATCCCGAAAACTGCTGCTGTCGACGTTCAGCTAGATCGATCAAGATTAGTTCTGGGCGCACGCTCTTGGAGCAACCGGACGCACGATCCATTCGTTGAAAATGCCCGTGACTGACGTCGGCGCCAGTCACGGGCGGATGGCTTCTGCTCCAAGTTTGGCCGACGAAAATCTTCACTGACGGCGTAGCTCGCGGCCTCTCCGGGAGATTAGAGCCAGGGCACTGAGGACCGCCAACACGCCTGAGGCGGGCTCGGGCGCCGTCGATGCGGCCACTTCCGGCGTGCCGAGAGCGCCGTAGTTGGACCGCCACAGGGTGTAGCCATCTGGGGAGGAATCGGGGCTATTTCCATCTCGCCATACTGTATAGTCGGCCGCGTCTACCGAGCCGTCATCGTTGTAGTCCCCGTCGAGTCCGTCCGTTGGGTTGAGTTCGATTTTCGCGACGCCGACGTTGAACTGGCCGCCGCCCTGGGCTGTCGCGTAGAAGTAGCTTCCGCTCATGAAACTAACGAAATCGGTTGCGCCCCAGGGCTCGGTGGAGAATGCCATTGTCGTGGCGCCAGTAATGTTCGTCTCGATGCCCGAGAGCGCGGGCGTAAACCCGGTGGCGTCTGCCGTGATCTCCAACGTGAACCCGTCCAGCAGGCTCTCTTCCGTGACGCCTTCCCCAGCGGGTGAGGTCCCGGGAAGATTGGCTTGAACCTGACCAAAGATGTTGTTCGGTGAGTAGCCGACGTTCGAGCGGGTATCGGTGGAACCGCGGCCGTCGAGCAGGAATAAAGCGTTGTCAGTCGGGCGGAAAGTACCGAACGCTGGCGCGAAGCCCATCTCAAGACCCCAGAAGGCGAGGTCTGGGGTCGAGCCATTGCCGTCTGGTGCAACAGGCGAGTCCACGACGTCAGTAACCCTCAGCGTGTACTTAACGACGTCAGTGGCGAGGATCGAGGCGCCATTGAGAGTTTGGATCGTAGCGGTCGAGCTAAAGCCTGTGTTGTTGCTGCCTCCTCCGGGGGAATACCACAGGGGGTCGGCAGCTGTTCCGGTGCTGATTAGGCCCGTGTCGCCGCTGGCGCCGTTGGTCACGAGGCTGACGTTGGAAGGGTTGGCAGTAAACAACGTCACCGCGGAAGAATGGTTGATCGTGTAGCAAGCGGACAGGGCTACAATGACGGCGGGCAGAGCCCATCGACACCTTAGGGAATTCGTCATGGTGATTTGGTTGGGTGACGGAGGAATCGGAGACCATCCAGCCAACTAGCTGGTTATCCAGAAGAGCGTTCGGAAAAGTAGCCGGGTAACCGCGTGGTGAAATCGCTATTTTGGGGCGCCCGACATAAGGTATTAGCCCAACGCCATAGAACCCTACAGAGAAAATCGAAAAGGTAGCAATTTGTCATCGCGTCCGACCCATTGCGATTGAAATCGCGGCACGCCGCGTTCGCTGGCTCCGACCATCGCTTAACGGACTCGTCATCGCGCCCGATGCCTGGCGCAAGAGGTGCGAGCAACGCAAGCAGGGGGGTTAAGGGATCGGGATGTGGTGCTTGGATTGGCGTTCTCACCTGCCGCTTCAGCGTCCCGCCATAAGGCGAAGCCAGCCGCGTTCATGCTTCCACGCGTCCATCGCGGTAGCCGTCCACTAGAAGATCCTGGGACGAGCCACAGGCGCCGCGGTCGTCAGCGAGACGGACGATGATGTTGGGCCGCTCCGCAGCGACGGGTCTCCTGGGTCTGCGATGGCCGAAATGAGCGCATGGGCAAACCAGGCAAACGGACCATGTGGTTAGCTTTGCCTCGCTCGATTCTCCTCCGCCACCTCTTTGCCTCGTTTTCGAATCCGCTCCCGGACAGACCACCTGCGGCCGCGTCACAACGTGACGTAGCGAGCGCGCGGGACGCCTTCCCGGATTGCCGTCCCAGGGAAAGTCGAATAGAACTCAATTTCACGAAGATCCCGGCCGAGCAACCGACCGGGGCCGCAACTCTCCTGGTTGATCCGAGTAGAGTTGCGGCCCGGTGGCCTGTTCGGCTGTCGCTCCGCCAGCCGCCTACAACCTTGCGTGCAGCGAAGTCGCTTCCGTCGAAGCTGATCCCATCAGCGGCGCCGCGCGGCTAGCCCGAAGAAGCCCAGCCCCAGCAGGGCAAGGCTGGTGGGCTCAGGTATTCGGCTCACGTCGATGGTTGCAGCACCAACGTTGAACTGGCCACCGCCTTGAGCCGTGACGTAGAAATGGGCGTTGTTCATATAATCGACGAAGTCTGTGCCGACGGGCCACGGCTCGGTGGGGAACTTCACCGTGGTGGCCGCGGTCCCACTGGATTCGACGTCCGAGAGCACGGTCGTGACCCCGCCCGCGGTGTATGCGATTTCGATCGTATAGCCGTCCAAGAGGCTGTCTGCGGTGATGCCTTCACCTGCGGGGGTCGTGCCGGGCAGCGAGTTCTGAACCTGGCTAAAGATATTGTTGGGCGAGTAGCCAAGGTTTGTGCGGGTCGAACTACTGCCGCGAGCGTCAACAACGACAAACGCGTTGGGGTTCGTGCGGAAGGCCCCGCCCGCGGATGCCAAGCCCATCTCGTGCCCCCAGAAACTGAGGCCCGGACTGGAGGCGTTAGTGGTCGACACCTCGGTGTCGGTGATCGTCAGCGTGTACGTGACGATATCGGTTGCAACGATCGAGCCGCCGTTAAGGGTTTGGATGTCATCGGTAGAACTGAATCCCGTCGAGTTGCTGCCGCCGATGGGAGAAAAAAATAGGGGATCGGAAGCCGCCCCGCTGCTGACCTGGCCATCGCCGCCATTGGCCCCGTTGGTCACCAGGCTGACATTGGTGGGATTGCCATCGAAGATAATTGCGCCATGGGCATGGTAGCTCATGCAGCAACCGGACAGGACCGCCGTAAATACGGGCAGCAGGTTGCGGGTAAGGGTTGCAGCATTCATTAGGACGTCTCTCTAGGGTGCGAAAAGGAACGGTGGATCACATCAGTGAAAAAGTACGCATCTACATTTTGGGGCCTGTTTCGTGCACGCCCCGCTTCTCACTACCAGCAGCAAAGATGGGAAATAAACGGACGATTGTGGCGTGGCGCCGAGTCCGGTGGGCGGACCACGACTCGTGGGATAAGTAAGACTCTCTGCATCCGCTTAACCGAGCCGTCAAGCAACCGCCCGCCAGCGCATTTCGCAATTGGCGACACACCCAGTTGCCATGTAACGCCCTCGGTCGTCTGAGGCACTACGCCCGGCAGCCTTCGGTGTAAGAATGCCCCCCGTTTCAAGGTCGCTCGAACAGCATGATTAGCGCCGCCCCCCACAGCAACGCCATGGACGCCGGGCCGGGCGCCTGGAGTCCAGGCGCCCTGTCGCGTAGGGCGCTGGATTGTGCGCCGTACGAGGCTTTCCACTCTGCGTAGTCGTCCGTGGTGACGGCGCCATCGCCATTGGCGTCGCCCTCGGTGCATGGCGTGACCTGCTCGCCCGAGTGATCCCGCCACACGGTGTAGTCGGCGGCGTCGACGACTCCGTCTCGGTTGAAGTCGGCCGTCAACAGCAAGGGCTCGGCAACCTCGATGCTGAGTTCACCTAGGTTCACGATCATGGCGGCTCCGGACTTCTGAGCAGTGAAATACAGATGGCCACCGCCGAAGTTGTCGATAAATTCGGTGCCGGTGAACGCGCCGTGAAAGACGCCGGGCGTTGCCGAGCCGTTGTCGACAAACTCCGCGTCACTGATGGTGACGGTGAAGCCGTCTTTGTTCGCCTCAATGGAAATCGTGAACCCATCCAGCAGCGATGCTTCGTCCACGCCCCACACCGCGTCATCGGAGCCTGTAACGCCTACCCAAAAAGATGTTGCCGGGCTGCCGGAACCGGGGAAGTGCGCCAAGCCGGAAGCGGCGCCGTCGGCGTCGACTTGAAAAATCAGGTGAGGGCTGGGGCGGAACCCCACCGTGGGTGCGAGCCCGAACTCGACGCCATTTGAGTTGAGATCGCCCGTGATGCCCGTGACCACCGCGGTCACCCTAACGGTGTCGGTGTCGCGCAAGGCTCTCCCCAAGGGCGATTCCGCCGCCAGTGAGTCGATCGTGTCGGTGCTCGCCAGGCCAAACGCGTGGTTTGTCCCCCAGGTGCTCTCGAGAGTCAGTGTTCCGGTCGCACCGGCCAACGTGTCGACTCCCGCGGAGCCGGCGCCGTTGTTGATTCCGGTAGAATTCTCGGGCGATGCGTTGAAGATGGCGACAGAGGTCATGGGCTCCGGAGGCGAAGTCAACATTGAAACCATCTGCTGGCCCAACGCGTTGCCGAGGCCGATCTGTCCGTTTGCGTCGAAGTGAATCAACCCGTTTGAGTAGGTCGTGTACAACGTATCGTTATCCGTATCGATCGTAGCAACATTGGGGCGCAGGTTGGGTGCGTTAGACTGCGCTGCCCGCACGGTTATCTGACCACTGCCGAGCGACGCGTACTGATTATCCGACAGCCGAGTCAGCACAAAGGGCGCATCCTCGCCGTTGAAGACGTCCGTCCGCACGCGATCAATCAGATTGACCAAATTGTTCTGATAAGCGGCCGCGTTTGCCGCTGACGTGTCGGCCTCGCCCTGGAGCCAGGTCATTCCACGCAGGTTGTAGGTGTCGCCGCGGAGGTCAAGGACGGCCAACGCCGCTTCAACAGTGTCAACAAACGTGTTGTACATATCGCCGCCGCTCGCCCACTGTGTGTGCAGGTTCGACCCGCCGTGGCCGTACTTGACGAGCATGATGTTTCGCTGAGGAAAGGCTTCCGCCAGCGTGCGGCCGAAACTCAACTCCGAACCAAACTCGCTGGGGTGGCCTGCCGGGCTGTTCCTGCCGTGCCCACTGCCCGGCTGCAGGTCGATAATCTGGTCCTGCGCCAAGTTGCCGTTGCTGACGTTGCCGAGCGTCTTGTGCCAATAGAACTGCACGTCCGTTTGTGGAATCGCCAGTGGCGAGCCAACGGGGATGTCCGCCGTGTTTCCCCGCCCGCTGGCGTTCGACTGCCCACCGATCAGGAACACGTCAAACTCGACCCCACTCGCAGTCGCTGAGAGCGCGACCAGCAGAGAGCCTGTGAAAAGTTCCCACCGAAGCATCGATTAGACCTATCAAGAAAAGACTTGTTTTTTTTGGTGAGCAGCATCTCGTCAGCAGCAACACCACCTCCGGCCCTAAGTTGAACCCACCGACGGACGGTGGGACCCCGCAGCTTGTCTGCCTTGCAGGCAGGCCACGCCCACTCCGGATGGGGCGTCCCGTGGATTCAGCCACATCCGGGAGCCCACGGCCCACGCGGCAAGAGCTCAGCGCCCTTTAGCTGCATTAGCTCGACTCGACCGAGTATTACAGGAAATCTGTCCAACCGCGATCCAACCGGCTGTTCCTGCAAGATTCGCGACCGCAACGAGTCCTGCCAATCAAGAGCTGGCGTCCGGGCAATGCTTACTCCGGTTGGTCCACGATCACTCGAAAGGCATCGAACGCTCGGCCGGAGACGCAAAGCGAGAACTCGATTGTCCGCCCATCCTCGGCGAGGCGGATCGAGTCTCGTAAGGTCACGTTTCTCCGATTGGAATGGTCTTCTAGCAGCGTGGTTTCATTTAGTTCCAGTTCTATTGAACAAGTCTTCTCGGGAGCCATCATGACAAAGTCATTCCATTGCTGAGGATTCGCAATAACGCCTAGGATGTCTCCATCGAAAGTCAGCTTGCCTCGGCGGACTTGGGTGTCCTCCGACGAGCAATCCACATGGATGATATATGAGCGGATCACCGTTCCTGCATTCACACTCGCCGAATCAACGCCGGGACGGAAACGGTCTTCGTACTCCCCAGCGCCTTGAAGCGTGAGGTTTAGGTCGGCCGGCAACGTGAAACCCGTTCGCAGTTCCTCGATCACGAACAGGCCCTTCTCACTGCTCAACGCACCATTGGTGATGACCTTCGGCGGACGAGACAGGAACACGATGCCGTCCGTCATCTCCGTGACCCCCATGCGAGCGGCCGTGAGCTGATTGAACGGGCTGCTGTCCAGGCTTCGTTCCGCCGGCGCCTCAACCCCGCGTTGGTCAATTGCCAAGGCTTGGTTTTGGACTAATTCACGCGTCCTTGCCTTGGCGCCTTGCGACGCGAACTCGCTCGTTACAACTTTGCCTTCAAAGACCTCGGTAAAGAGGCTTCCGTTGGTTCTCTGCCAAACGCCAAATTCCGTGCCCAGGTCAACGATCCGCCGCGTCGGCGTGTCGACGACAAACCCGCGGCTCTCGCTGGTGGCGCACTCCCCTAGGACCTTTCCCTCCAGCAAGCGGATGTGATTGGCGCCGACGAATTCGATTTCACTCGGCGACTCCACGGATACAACGGCGCCGGCAAGCGTCGTGAGGCTTGCGAATCCCGAATGCAAGTAGTAGCGGTCCTGCTCCCTAAATACCGCGCCAGGCGAAACCGGCATGGGGGGAGAGTCTACGGCGTTGCCTGTCTGCAACGTGATTTTTTCCCAGACCGCGTCTCGTGAGTTCTTCAATCGCGCGACGACCGGAGGCGGCACGGGCAAAGGATCTTTAACGTGCGCTTCCTGGGCCACCGGCGGTGGCTGGTGAGGCGATGTCAAAGCGAACACGAGCAACAGCAGAGCTGCCGCGGCGGCTCCCGCAGCGAACCCCGCCATGTCACGCCAGCGAAACGCCGGCGCCGGCAGGTCTTCGGCACACGGGGCTTCTGGTAGGCAGGACTCGGCAGCCATATCTCTCGCGTCCTGCAAGGCCTGAGCACGCGCAGCCTGCTCCGCTTCGTTGATCAGAATCGCCACGGCGATCGGGTCAACGGACTGATTGAAAACGCTGGCCCTTCCATGCCTCCAGAGCAGCGCCGAATGAACATCCACCTGGCCGCGGTACTCTGCTCGCAGTTCGGGGGTCTCCTTTAAGAGCTTCGCAAGGACGCGCCCCTCGTCGTCGTCTAACTCGCCGCGCAGCATCTTGTCGATCAACAGCAGGCCGTCGGCCCCTACCGCTGAGTCAGCAGTCGACCGATCACCGGATTGCCCTGCATCGCGAGGCGCCGGAGTATGCCCCGAGCGAGAGCCTTCTGGCTCCCCCTCCTGGCAATCGCGCCCCCACGGCTCATCGACGTCACTCATTTTAATCCTTCGATCGCAAAGGAGCGCTGCATACAATCGTGCAGTCTCTTTCGAATTCTGCACATCAAAACGGCCACCGATCCGGCGCTCCTGCCTTCGGTGTCGGCGATTTCTGCGTAAGTCAGGCCCTGTTTGTAGTAGCGGTCGAGAAGGCCTTGGTGCATGGGAGATAGCTTCTGGAAGCATTGAGACAGCGTGCTCAAACGAGCATCCGGGCCAACAAGGCTCTCGCTCGTTTCTTCGGCGAGCACATTGATCAACTCGACGTCAAACCAAAGTCGGTCTCGCCCCTTCCGCTTGCGGTGAGCAAGCACCTGCAGATACGCGAAACGGGTCGCCCAACTCATGAAGTTGCGGGAGTGGTCATACTCGTCTGCCTTTCCCAGCAACGCCAGGTTGGTCTCCTGCAGCACGTCACCGGCCTCCTCGCCCGAGCCCAGCAGGGAAAAAATGAACCCGTACAGTGAACTCTGAGACTCGATAAGGAGTTGCGTCACCGGTTTGCTATCACTATCGTCAGGCATGGTCTTGTCGAGAACGGGCTAGCGCGTCCACCCAATCGTCCCCCCGCGTAGTCATTCGTCGGCAGCCGAAAATGCGATCCTAAGTACTGCACTAGCGCGCAGTAGCATTAGCCGCGGATCGGAGAGCTTTGCACAGAAAAACGCGAGAAAAGCAACATCGCTATCATGGTGCTCAAGCCTTTGCTGCCCGACTACCGGCTCCCCGTCTACTGACTCACGGTGGAGTTGTTTGGCTCAACGAGGAGTCGTTCTACTGTGCCGGTGATAGCGCGGAAATCTTGAGTGATTTCTGTAACACTCGCCCCCTCTTTCGCTAATGACTGTATGAAAGATGTGGTCTTCCCCGCCGCGATCGGCGTCTCGTCATATCGTCATTCCTTCGTCAACCATTTTTCCGCGGGCATCCTTATGCGTCACTCCGGCCGCTCCCACCAAACGGGATTCACCCTGGTTGAACTGCTGGTCGTTATCGCCATTATTGGCGTCTTAATCGCCCTGCTGCTGCCGGCAGTCCAAGCGGCGCGAGAATCCGCTCGACGCTCGCAGTGCTCTAACCAGTTGAAGCAGTTGGGACTGGCGGTGCTCAACCACGAGAGCGCTCGCGGCGAACTGCCGCCGGGAACCGTCGCTACCTCCACTGATCGCTGGGACAAGGAGCAGCGTTTCTCCAACTGGGCGATCGACATTCTCCCGTTTATGGAGCATCAGCCGCTATACGACCTCTACGAAAAGTCTACCTACAATTTCGACCCTGTAAATCTGCCAGTCCTGCAGACGGTGCTCAAAGAGATGCAGTGCCCCTCGTCCGAACCCTATGGGCTGCGGCAATCGGTGTGGCTTACCAATCAGGCAAGTTTCAGTTCGCCGCTGGCCGTCGGCAGTTACAAAGGAGTGGCCGGGGCTCGCTTCGCCAGAGCCGGTTTCTACGACTACCCCCCCTCGGCGAACGTCGAGGAACGTGACGCGTTTCGGCGCGGACCACTGCACCTCGTGGGAGTTGGCCGATTTGGGAACGTCAAGATGAAGGACATTCTCGACGGAACGTCGAAAACCCTGCTGATTGGTGAGTACACGACCATCGAGCAAGCTGATCCGAACTACGCCCGTGGGCAGACGGGGTTGGCGTACTGGGCGAGCAGCTTCGACTATCATAGCCTGGGCACGATCCAGCCCGAGGACTACACACGGGTAGCCGACCACTCAACCTGCTTCGACGTCAGCAACGCGGTCTTCCAATGCAACCGGGCCTACGCGAGCAACCACGCCGTGATTCAGTTCGTGCGGTGCGATGGCTCTGTCTTCAGCGTCCCTCGCCAAATCGACGGGGATGTCTACGTGACGATGGGCACGATTCAAGGAGACGAAGTGGTCCAGGTAGATTTCTAGCGCAGATTTCGCGGTTGCCAACGTGATAACTTTTGTGAGGGGCGAGATGAATTCGTGCGCAGCGTTTCAAGCTAGAACCGTTAATGGTTTGGGGAAAACCAACAGATGGTCTGCCATGCGTTCACTGCCGATCCTCTTGCTGCTCCCACTATCAAGCCTTGTTGGCTGCGGGAGCGAGAAGTTTCCAGTCGCGCCGGTCTCCGGTGTTGTCACGCTCGATGGCAGTCCACTGGAAGGAGCAGTTGTCTCGTTCGGTCCGCGAGCGGATCCTAAGGAGCTTGTTGGGGGTCCAGGGGCCTACGGCAAGACCGACGCCAACGGGGCCTACCGTCTTCGCACCCTCGATAAGGAAGACGGTGCGGTAGTGGGGATGAACAAAGTCACAATCGGCAAATGGAAGACGAAGACCCTGCCGAACGGCGAGTCTATCGCGCTGCCGGTGGACTTGATCCCACCCCGCTACAATTCGAGGACCGAGCTCTCCTTTAACGTTCCTCCCGAGGGCACGACCAACGCGAACTTCGATCTGAAATCGGATTGACCCGCGTAGGGGATTCAGCCGCAGTCCCTCTGCGCGAGGGAGAGTGTTGCAGACGAATGAGGAGTGGTCAAAAAAGGCCATTGCACGCAGCTGCAACTCAATCTCCGTTGAGAGTTGCGACTAGCTGCCAACGGTAACGCAACCCTGGTCCCGCCGCTGTCTGAAGTTGGCCCTCCTTCAGCAGCGAGCGTGTGACGTCGTTCTCGCGACAGCCCCGCCGGCTAGAGGCGTAGGCATTGCCGCCGATGTTCCGCCACCCCATCTCACAGCCGTAATAGACGCACCGGAAAATCCTTGGAGGGCTTTCTGGGCGGGGCGGGGGTGGTAGACTTAGGCACTTCGAGTCAAGTAGCGGAGAGACGACCTTCCCGGTCGAGCCCACCCAGCGTGTCGCTGTTTCCCAACGAAAGCCTTCGTGCGTGACCGTGTGATCAATCGAGGTCACCACCTTAAGTGCTTTAAGGGTAATAGTTTAGCCCCCGTAGCTCAGGGGATAGAGCATCGGTTTCCTAAACCGTGTGTCGCAGGTTCGAATCCTGCCGGGGGCGCTCTAATTCTGTCGGCAGTTGCCGCATTCCGGCGGTTAGTCGGCTAGCACAAACTGGCAGCCATAGTCGTAGAAGCGGCTGAGCGGTTCGCAGCGTATCACCTTGCTGACGACTTCGATCTCGCGGAAGGGCAGCGT